ACTAGTCTTACTGCTGTCAGAACGATGAAACGGAAAGAAATCAGTTTATATATCATTTATTATCCTCCATAATCACGTTGAGAAAACAATTTCAAAAAACTCGTATTATCTCGATAAAAAATTACCACAATATTAATGAGGATATGTCAAATTAATAACAAAATGCGAATACAAAGTTCTTATAGACTAAAAATTTTCTATATTCATATATGGGCGCATTGTTTTTGTAACCATTCCAATTCGGCAGTTTTTCCTGAGTTTTCCAAAAATTTTCCTACTACACTGAGCACTCGATCATGGTATGAATTTAGCCAGTTAATCTGAAAAACAGAGTAAATAATTAGAAGTGATAATGGAAAGTAAAATGTGATAATAATTAATAACAGACAAATAAATAATAACAAGCAAAGACTACTGTTTAGAAACCATGAATAACAGACCTCATCTGCAGTAAGCATCGATTTATCAATTATACTAGTTTGGATAGGGACTAGCGTTAAAGCTCGGAAACCAAGAAAAGCTGCGTCCGATGGAACTTCGGCCCTCACCACCTGAAAACAAATATTACTTTTTCGACCACAAAAAGGCTGGTAAGGCTACTGTTCGATAAGATCATTGAAAACTTACTTCATAGCAGTTTTCAATTCGTGTACCCCATTTTCCTCTGAGATAGTAGCCAGGCTCTATCGTCAGTATCATACCTTCCCGTATCCACGCATCGCTTTCGTACGATGCTGTCCGAAAGCCGATAGATGCTATAAATAATAAGGAGTATCAGTACAAATATAGCAAAATATTGTGCAAATGAATTTTATAATGTAATACAATAAGTCTTATTAGTTTCAGAGCTATTCGTTTTTTTCAAACCCGTTCCTGGGATGCGCTCCGCCATTTGGCTTCCATTCAGAATCCAAAGTGGGGTTTGAATGGTTATGCAACCTGTACAGTTACTTGCTGTAGCCAGCTGATGTAAAATACAGTGCTTTCCCCCTCCCAGATGAGTATGGTAGCAATTGACGGACCTCGAAGGGATGGAAGGCTTAGTTGGATATCGAGCCGGGATTCGATCCCCGACCACGGCCATTACTTCACCAACACCCCACTAATGATAAAGTCAAAAAGTATTCTTGTATATTAATCAGAATGGTAATTGATTTTTTTCAAATTTTTGAGACAAATATTGACGAAATTTTTATTCAAATTGAGAAATAAAAAATGCAAAAGTATAATAAAAGATTTGCCCTAGTGGAAACAACTGACCTGGGCCTTCGTGAACGTTAAGGAAATGGCCCACTCCATGACCAGTACCATGATTAAAATCTAATCCGACCTGCCACATTGCATGCCTTGACAGGGTGTCTAACCGAATTCCTTGAACAAATTTAAATTTACTGGTATGAAACAACCTTCCACTGGAAGGCAGAAACGTATTCTGTGGGAAAGTAGAGGTTGAATATGATCTGAAGGCAATGTCATACCTATAAGTGCATGTGGAAAGACAGTGCTTGCCAGATTGATGTGTCCCTTCAGTACCAACGTATTATGTCGAACAAATTCTTGAGGTATCGGCGATTTGGAAGAGATCCAAACGGTGCGAGTAACATCAGTTGTACCGTCTCTGAATTTGTAGAATTTTGAAAACCTGGTGGTCCACTTTTTCGGTCAACACTCTCTTTCTACTTCATTATTTCGCTGCTGATGAGCCTATCACTGTATGCCTTAACCTATTCATAGTAACCAAGCTGTATGTAATGTAGGTTCATTCTCAAATTCCCCAAGCTCTGTGGAAAAATAAGGAGGGCCAAAGCGTTCTGCGCTAGTTGACTCTCTTTTGGAATGCGCCACACACTAGAATTTCACCTGGAATCCTGTAAGTACTGCATGGCCAATACATTAGCTTGCAGGCCTGAGTCTTCGGAAAACTGCCCAGGCTTGATGCCAACTAGTCGATTACGAGACCAAGACGGAATTCTTGGCTAATGAGGGTGAGATTCAACCCAAAACTTGTTCTGACCACATGCGGGTTAGCAGCACCACTAGTATTAGCTTCATACCCGTCTGTAAACTACTGTTAACGTGAGAGTAGTACCTACACTTACCTGTAATGTGCTCCGGAGTCTAATAGGTAGACCTCGTCAGCGGTCACTAATCGTTTGCCTTCTTCCCCTTCAGGATGGTAGTGTGGTTTTGCAGCATGGTCTCCAGCAGCAGAGATGGTAGAGAAACTAAAAATACGTAATATTAAATTAAGACACCGATCAAGTTGCAAAACGTTGAATAATCTTCTCTATGAATTCAAGATTGATGAATTCTGAGCAATGTAGCACCTTAAATCGACGTATTTGTCCATAGCAGCTCGCATCGAGTCTATTTTTGAGGCCAACTCGATTTCGCTATGGGATCGTCCCTGGAGTAGTTCTGTTTCTAACCACATGAGGAAGCTCACCAATGCGGCGCTATCCCTGATCTGAAACCCAACCACTTCAAGAATGTTCCAGATGAAAGCCACAGAGAATCAATTAATACTTACATGACTATTGCGCATGCCTTCCAATTCCACGGGATTCTTCACTCCTTTCATTACTTGAACAGGACTACCTTCTACAACTGCCGAAGGTTCAAAAATTTGTCCGAAAAGGTAGTTAGTGTTCCTTGGGACGAAAACCTGAACATAATCACTATAGCTATCATATGAAGAGTTCTTCGGCAACTCAATGCACGACTCAGGAGGCGCCATCGCTTCCACAGCACTGGAACTAGGTCTTCGCATGCAGTGGTAATAATACAATCGCCCTTTGACCATGTGCGGTAGCCTAGTTGCAGCGCTGTGACAGCTGTGGCGCCTCCTGACCCGCATTCAGCAGCAGCTCGCTTACCCTAGGCTTGTGCTTGTTGAGCCCTGCCTGTTGTTCATACCATTTTGTCATGAAATCGTATGCATCGGCGTAT